TCCTCATCTTCTTTGTATTGTTCCTCCTCTGCCTCTCCCTCTTCCTCCTCCTCCTCCTCCTCATCCTTCTCATCCCCCCCTCCTCCTCCTTGGCCTCCTCCTCGTCCTGTGCTTCTTTGTATCCTTCTTCTGAGTATGATCAGTATGCATATTCCTGTAATTATTAGTAGTATTTCTCTTCCTCCTCCTCCTCCTCATCTTCATCATCATCAGCCTACTCTGCCTGTTCTCTTTCTGAATACTGTTACTAGGGGTATTATTCGTTTTGACATTGTCACTATCCTTATGATTAGTAGTATTTGTATGAATACTAGTATTATTCTTCTTAGTGCTCGTATTATTGCAAATCGTATTAGTATTCGTCTTCTTGTTACTGTTCTTATTATCCTTATTATTATTCCTCCTCCTCCTCCTCCTCCTCCTCCCCCTCCTCCTCTTCCTCCTCATCCTCCTCCTCCTCCCTCTCATCCTCATCCTCCTCCACCTCCTCCTCCTCCTCCTCCTCCTCGGCTCCTCCTCCGGCTCCTCCTCCTCCTCCTCCTCTCCTCCTCCTCCTCCTCCTCCTCCTCCTCCTCCTCCTCCTCCTCCTCCTCCTTCTCTCGGAGGGGGTAAATGGAGACAATTGCGGTTCTCCCGCGTGGCCTATCCCGGGGGTCCCCCTCGGTGTCCACAGCCCTTGCCTCGAGGCGGGCCTGGCCTCGGCGACGACAGGCCTCCAGGAGGACAAGACGAACAACTTCAGGAAGAGCCGCCGCTGCTTCGACGGCCCTTCCTCCGAGATTCGGGCATACGCGAGCATGGACCTAAGATCCGAGTGGACGTGGCGCGCGGGCGCTCTCTCATTGAATCGGGGATCCCCGGATCGGGCCCTACGCGCGGGCATACGCGAGAGGACCTAAGATCCACGGACCGGGGAAGGCGCTCCCCAGAGCAGGCGGCCAATATGCCACCCCGCGATGTGGCAACGGAGCGCGTCAACCTCGCACGGGAGCGGGGCCCGCCGCGCCAGGTCGGCGTGCCTCTGCACGCTGGGCTTCCACATGTGGCCGATGGCCGGAAGGGGGGGGGGTGGCTTCTCCTCCTCCTCCTCCTCCTCCTCCTCCTCCTCCTTCGCCTCCTTCGCCTCCTCCATCTCCTCCTCCTCCTCCTCCTCCTCCTCCTTCTCCTCCTCCTCCTCCTCCTCCTCCTCCTCCTCCTTCGCCTCCTTCGCCTCCTTCGCCTCCTCCGCGGTCTGGGCCGGTGCCTGGTCGATCTGCTCTCGGCAGTCGCGCAAGGCAGACTTGGGGGGGAAAGGGCCCTGGCCCGTCGCCAGGAGCAGCCGGGAGCTGGTCTCTATGGGAGGGGGGCGGGGGGCAGAGAGGGGGGCCAGGGGCCCACGCCGATGGGCGAGACAAGGAATGAAAGAACGGCGACCGGGTTGCGCTTCCTCGAGATGCATCCGCCGCCGCCGCCGCCGCCGTCGTCGTCGTCGTCGTCGTCGTCGCCGCCGCCGTCATCGTCGCCGTCGTCGTCGTCGTCGTCGTCGTCGTCGTCGTCGTCGTCGTCGCAAGGGCGGCGCCCCCCGATCCTGCTCACCCTCACGGCGACGGTGGCCGCGTGCGCCGCGCCGCCGGCGCCAGCGCGGCGGACGGTGAGGCTGAAGTTGTACACGCCCTCCTGTCGTTGAAGTCTCAAGGACGGCTTCCCCTGTCTCTTGAGGATGGGATCGGCTGCAGAATTGATTTACCCCAAAATCGGAATCGTGGTGTGGTCTGGAAGAGATGCGCGGATCTTTCGTAGATCCGCCGAACAGCCTGCATATTTTCTCGTAGATGCGACGAACAAATCAATGTTGGGGTAACCAAGTCAATTCTGTAGCCGACCCCTATTGAGTCCCTCGACTCGCGCACACACTCTCCAAGCGTGCGTGGACATCTTTTGATCTACCAGGACGTCGATCGAACACTACGCCGCTGTCACTCGATTCGTCTGGCTTGATCCCCGCAAGTCGATTGGAGAAGTGTGGTCAAGCCCGTAGGTTTAGAAATTGCAGGGTCCGCTCGGGACTGCCGAATCCCCTCCGAAACCCTTCCGCAGGGGGTACGGGGAGGTTGCCTTCGAAAGGTTCCGGGAGGGGGTTCGCACGGGCTCGTCGTTTTGGGGCGGGCACAGGCCCCTAGCGAGCCCTGACCAAGGATTCCGTACGTTTCTACGCAACCCTGGGGCGCGGAGCGCCCCCCAGAAGCGGCGTCAGGGGGTATGTCGACCCCTATCCCAGGCTTCGTAGCGTTTTCGAATGGACCAAACATTTAGGGACCAACTCTGGGATATACGAGGGGGGGGCGTCCATCCTCGGTAGGGGTGCGTCCGAATAGCACCCCGGGGGTGTATCCCAAGGTCTCCCTCCTTTTCTGAGTGGTCCCATTTTTCGTCGAAGAGTCGGGGATTGGGGGAGAAAAATCGCCTGCGAGAGACTGCCTTGGACGAAACGCAGGACACCTGTTGAGGCAAGTCGGGACTACTCGGGTTGGAGGCGGCTGGGGGGTGTGAACGGACTGTGACTTGGTCAACAGGGTTGGAGCGGGGGGGGAGGCAAATACGCTCGAAATCTGTCCCCGGACCCCTCCCTGGATCCATCCGGCGCAGTTCTTCACCCCGGAATCGGTTTTTAACGGCCGGAGATCGAACAAAGACAAAAAAACGATCCAGAACCCAAAACCTCGAATCTGAGCGCCCTCCCTACTGGCTGGAACCGGTGCTGGGCCACCTCAGAGCCCCAGCCGGCTCCAATACTCGGAGGGCTTGCTGAGGCCAGCCAAGGCTTACGGCAGGCTCGTGTCGTGACGACCCCGGCGTTGGTTTCTGACACCGCGTGGATCGTTCAGCCTCCAACGATCGGCGGCTTTCCGACCGCCCGATCGTTCCATGTACACCCTGCGAAATGCTTAAGAAATCATGGGTTAAGACATTCATGGTCTCAGAAATTGAATAAAACCCAGAACTTCTATCAACAAATCTTGGGATTTACATTGAAAAGTTAAGAATAATCGAGACTTTGGACGAAAACTTAGAGGTTTTCTTAAACATCGCCTAAGGTGTAGAACGATTCTGGGCCACTGGCGGCATTCAACTTCGAACGCCCACGGCGGGGCCACAGCCGGCCAACACGATGCGAACCTGCCGTACCTGGCGGGGGGCTGCCCGTGCGCAGCCCAGGCCCCCGACGCCGTGAGTTGTTCGCAACGTCGAGCCCCAGAGGTCCGGACCCCTTCCCCGGGACCGGCTCCTCATCCCGAGTCGCTTCCTGACCGCCTCGAGGCCCGGGACGTGCCCCGGGAGACCGAAAATTACCAAAAACCTCCCGTCGTGATTTGTTTTCACCAGGCGAGTGGGTCTTCTCCTCCGCCTCCTCCTCCCTCTCCTCCTCCTCCTCCTCCTCCTCCGCCTCCTCCTCCTCCTCCTCCCGCTCTGTACACTCCTCCTCCTTCTCCTCTTGTTCCTCCTCCTCCTCCTCCTCCTCTTCCTCCTCCTCCGGCTCTCCCTCCTCTTCCTCCTCCCCCCGTGATTCCCTCACAACGCGAAGGGGGGGTCTGGGTGCGCGCAGCCCGAAGCCCTGCCAAGCCGCCAAGCCCCTGAGAAGGTCCTGCAGCTGCCCGCCGCCCACCGCCAGCACGGGCCCCGCCGCCCCGGAGCCGTCGAGGAGCTCGGCCTGCCCAGGCAGGAAGTTCGCGAGGCCCGAGCACAGGGCCTGCGCCTGGGGTAGAAGGGTTGTTCTCCCTACCCAGAGAAGGAATAGGAGGAGGAGGAATAATACCGCGACAGCTGCCCAGCGTAAGTCCGATGAACGCAAAAAGGAAGAAACAAGGGAGGAAAACGAGGAGGAAAAGGAGGAGGAGGAGGATGAAAAAGGAGCAGGAGGAGGAGGAGAAGGAACAGGAGGAGGAGGAGGAAAAGAAGGAGAAAAAAAAGAGGAGGGGGAGGATGAGGAGGAGCACGAGGAATAGCAAGAGGAGGAACAGGAGGAGGAACAGGAGGAACAGGAGGAGGAAGAGGATGCAGAGCGGGAGGGGGAGAACGAACAGGAGGAGGAGGAGGAGGAGGAGGAGGAGGAGGAGGAGGAGGAGGAAAAATACCCCCCGCCTTGTGAAAACAAATCACGGAAACAGGTTTGTCTGCTATTATCGGCCACCGGGGGCCCTCACGCAGCCTCAGGACCGCCCAAAAATAGCCCGGGATGAAAAACTGGTGACAGGGAAGGGGTCGACGCTGCGAACAGAAAACACGACGTCGGGGGTCTGGACTTAACGCGACAGCAGAGCCGAAACGGGCGTGGATCTCGGCGGCGATCCCAAGGGGGAATGCGCAAGAGGGGGGCGGGCCTTCTCGGGGGGCTCGGCAGGCTTCGGGCATTCTGAAAAGTGTTCCAATGACTCCTGCAAAGGCGTGCGTCCTCTCAGAAGAAGAACGACGAAGAGGGGGGAGGGGGGGAGGTGGAGGAGGAGGAGGGGGAGGAGGAGGAGGAGGAGGAGCAGGAGGAGGAGGAGGAGGAGGAGGAGGAGGAGGAGGAGGAGTTTTTCCAGTGCTCCACGCACGCCCAGGCGAATAAATCGCGGGGACTCGCGGGACTGGACGCGCGGGTTTGAACCACAAATGGCTCAAACACGTTCTCCGCACTGATGAAGCTGCCAATGCACCGACCGAAGATGTCCAAGGGGGCTGTGTAGATCTTCCTCAGGCAATATAGCCCAAACGCTTCAAGATCGCCAAACACTCAGCACCCAAAGTCGAGCTACTCCTCCGTGTACTGCCTCTGGCTGCTCTCGTTGGGCTCGATGTGGCCCTCGTTGTCGGGGTCGCCGATGCCCTCCACGCCGGACTCGAGGCGGTCCGCAATGCCGCTCTTGGCGAGCACCTCGAAATCGAAGTTGGGCTCGAAGTGGCCCTCGGTGTCGTTCCTGACAGGGGGCTAGAAGTCGCCCTCGAAGGCGGGCTGGGAGTCACCCTCGATGTTGCTGATGACGGGCGGGAAGGTTGTTGTTGTGCGGGCGATAGAACAACCCAGTCTCATGTGCAGCAGAGGTGACAACATAAAGCACTAAACTACACAGTCTCAACTCGGGCGAGGCGGAAGGCGCCTCAAAGCGAGGATAGGCCAGCACACCACATTGACCCAGGGCGGGAAGGTGCCCTCGGAGATGGTGGGCCAAGAGCCCTCGGGAATGTGGAACTTGACCTTGAAGGTGGGCTCGTCGTCGTCGAAGGTGGTCTCGCGGCCGCCCTCGACGCTGGACTTGATCGGTGATTTGGTATCCTTCTCCAACGTGTACAAAGCTCCAGGAACGAACGTCTTCGCGCCGATGTTGAATATGGGACTGCTGCTACTAATGGTAGGCCTGGCCTTCTTCCCCACGACGCGCGGAGTGCCAGGCGGGACGAGCTGTAGCCCTCCTCCCTCTAACGCAAATATTGGTGACCAGCTTAGTTCCGATGCAGCGAGGGGCGAGAGCTCCTCTCCTCCTTTCATCATCATCAGGGGGAACGGGGGCAGAGGCACCTTCAGGTCGCCGACGTTCATCATGCTCCCTGCTTTGGAAGTTGCCGATGTAGTGCCCGACGCAGCCGCGAGGCCCAGGCCGCTCCCCAGAGACCTCGGTGGCGTCGGGCTCGGCGGAACCAACTCGGCGAGCTTGCTCGTGTACATGACCCTCAACATGCCGAACTTCTTCTTGCGCTTTATGCGGTTGCACGCCGTGTAGGAGAGCTTCTCGCTGTCCTGTTGCTCCTTGGCGCCGCTGTCCTGCATCTCTGGGTTGGACTTCAACCAGCGGGCGTTATTCGACGCTTCAAATCGCGCCCGCTCGAAAGAAGCGGCACCCCCCCCCTTGAAGAAGGCGACCTCGACGTGGACGTGGACCCCGCGGAGGGCGCGAACTTGAACTTGGAGAGGGCGCAATACTTGAGGAGGGCGCAGTACTTGACAGCGACTCCCTCGGGGTCGCCCGGGGGGCTCGATCCTTCGCGAGGTCCACGACGTCGAGCTTGTCGAAGAACGGGGCCAGCACAGCGACGCCACCCGTCCCAGCGCGACCCGCGCCATTGCATAATACACTGTAGCTGCGAGGAAGCGAGGCAACGAAGCGTCGTGGCCGCGCGCCAGACCCATGGACCTCCTGCAGGATCATGATGCAGCGCATCCGCGCGTTGGACGCCATGGGCGCCAACTTGCTCTCGCGCTTCTTCAGGTCGATCGTCGGGGGGCCCCGGGCGCCCCGAGAGAATGCCTTCAGCGAGGGCGGACGCGCGACCGCGCCGTGGAGGTTGCTCCCGCGATGCTCCACGATCCTCCGAGAAGAAACCGTGAAATGAACGTTCGAGGTTGCCGGTGTCGAGTTGATGGGCACGAGCCTGCGCAAAGTTCCGATGACCTCGGTGTCGACGCGGGCTGCGGCGCCGACGTCGAGGCGCACAGTGGCACTCCAGCTGCTGAGATGCGTCCTTTTTTGCTTGCATGGGCGGAAGTCGACCTGGGCATGGGCGCCCTTGGGAAGACGGTGAAGCCGTCGCGTCTAGGTGCCCCTCCTGATCTGCCTGGGGCCGCGGTCAGCGGAGTCGAAGAGCGGGGCAGATTGCCCCGTGGCCACGGTAGCACTGAACTGCCGCCAAGCGCCACCTGCCACATTAAGACCTCCTGCCAATGCTGTCGCCCGCGGTGTGACGATCGCTTTGCCGCTAAGAGGCCGAAGCACGAATCGTTCTGCAGGCGCGCCACCCGCCGGCGACGCCCCCGCCGCGTCCGCCTCAGAGTCGGCGAACCAGTCTTGGAGAGCACGCTGCATGGGCTGGGGGGGCGCGAGGTCAGGGGCACAGATCGAGGAGGCCGCGGGGTCGGGGGGCACGTCGAAGTCCGCCTCAGCGATGACGTCAGGACAAGGAACCTGCGCCTCCAGTCGCGAGGGTCCGATTGACCTCGCTGATGGCAGCGCGCTGGGCTTCTTGTGCGCGTTCAAACTCTGCAATCCGCCCGCGAGGCTGCGCGCGCTCACTTTCTGCTGCATCAACGCGCTCAGAAACCAGCTTCTGATCCGCATGGGCGGTTCCGGCGGCTGCGCGCGCAGCCGAACGCTTACATGCCTCAAGCGTGGAGTCGACGTGCGCCGTGAGCCTCGCGCGAAGAGACTGGTGGATCGCCTCGAGGGGGGCAGGCAGGAGGTCCAGCTCGCGAGGCAGATCCTGCAGCCTGTGATGGTAGAACTCGTTGTTGCTGGGCTTGATTGGCTTGTTGGTTCGCATGAGCATGTCCAGATCCTGCAGCCCCGCGTCCGTCGGCTCCGCAATGCCGAGGGTCAGCGCGATGCAGTGGGTCCGTGGGAGGGCGGGGGGCCAGCTCCTGAGACGGGAACGTAAGCGCTTCATCCAATCTCTCCATGGCTGCTGAAACGGAGATCGGCATGGGCGCAGCGGCGCCGCCGGGGCCGCCAGCGCCGCGGTGCCCGCCTGCCGCCTGCTCGACCAGAAGAGCGCCCTTCACATGGATGACGCCAGGGCGCGGCGGGGCGGCCTCGCCCATCCCGCCGGCGCCGACGAGCTCGATCATGGCCGGTTTGCCGTCGACGGGGGCGGCGAGGGCGAGGCCCGTCACCGCCACCACTGCGAGGCGCTGCGCTCCGCTTCGTCCGCGTCGGTGCCACGCGCTGGCCTTCCTCCAGGGATGGCGGCAGCAGCGCGAAGAGCGCGACCGCGCATTTGAGGCAACAACCGAATGCCAGGGCGGCGCCACAACAGCGACGCGGGCGGGGCGCCTGGAACATGGAAGGTCCTGGCGGAAACTGGAATGGGAGCCAACCGCGCTGGGGCAGTTATGGAATAGCCACTTTGGCCTTGAGCCAGACTGGCCTGAGCCAAAATGGCCACGGAGGAGGATTGGGGGGAGGTCGATGCGGGGGGAAGGAGGAGGAGGAGGAGGAGGAGGAGGAGGAGGAGGAGGAGGAGGAGGAGGAGGAGGAGGAGGAGGGAGAAGAGGATGAGGAGAAGGAGGAGGAGGGGGGGGAGGGGGAGGAGGAGAAGGAGACGAGAAGGAGGAGGGGGAGGAGGGGAGGGGGACAAGCTAGGTGCGCTCGCGTCATATCTGACGTCCTACCCCTCCCTCCCATCCCTTACCATGGCGCTGATTTTCTCTATCCGCGGACGCGTGTCGTAGCGGACCTGTGGCTCCGCGCGCGCGTGCGTAGTGGGTGGTGGTGCGCGTGCGTGCGTGCGTGCGTGTGTGCGTGGTGGTGTGGTGGTGGGTGGTGGTGGTGGTGGTGGTGGTGGTGGTGGTAGTGGTGCTGCTGCTGGTGCTGGTGCTGGTGCTTGTGGTGGTGGTGCTGGTGCTGGTGGTGGTTGTGGTGGTAGTGGTGGTGGTGGTGGTGGTGGTGGTGGTGGTGGTGGTGTGATGTGGTGTGTGTGGTGTGTGTGTGTGTGTGAATGTGTGTGTGTGTGTGTGCGTGTGTGCGCGTGTGCTGTGGCATGGCACGGGAAGTGACGCCAGCGCTGGAGGGGGAGGAGGAGGAGGAGGAGGAGGAGGAGGAGGAGGAGGAGGAGGAGGAGGAGGAGGAGGACAAGGTTAGGCACGCCACTAGACCCGCCACCTTATGCAGGCACATAATCCCCTGCACAACGCGGCGAGCCCGTGGAATCTCCTCATCGATCCAAATCCACCGCCGCTCGTCGGCCCTGAGGGCACGGTGGGGGCCCGCTCTCACCGTGCCAGGGTCACGGGCGCACTGGGGTTCACGACGGGCGGGCGAACGGCAGCGGCGGCGAGGGGCTCAGAAGGCGGAGGCCCAATCTCGCCGCTGGCCGACGACGGGTTCAGCTCCCCATCGTCGTACATAAAATCAAATTCAATCTACTCTCCAGCGGGCTGTGCGAATGCCGTCGGGGAAGAACTTGCTGCGGATACTTGTGGTAGTCCAGTCCGCTGCACACTGGACTCGGTATCTCCGATAATATTTCCATGGTCGTGCTGCACTTCGGAGTCATCGTAACCCACCGTTAGAATCTGGACTGCGTCCTGACCGCGTACTGTGTCGACTGCACCCCTGCCCCTCTCGCTGTTTACCACACGGGTACACCTGGGGGCAGGTTCTAGGACAACGTTCGGCGACTGAGCCCAGCCCCACGCGCTGTTTACCTCACGGGTGCACCTGGGGGCTGGGACTTGCGTTCTAACACCACCAGCTTGGGCGCTTCCATGTGCTGCAGGCCTCCCCGAAAATGGACGACGTTCGCATGCGGGGGGTGGCGCGTCAGTGTACTCTGGAACAGGTTGGACCAATGCCGTCCAGGAAAAACTTGCTGCGGATATCTGTGGTTGTCCAGACCGCTGCACTCTGGACTCGGCTTCTCCGAAACATTCCTCGAGATCGTGCTGCATCTGGGGGCCGTCGTGTTCCTTCACCTGCGTCTGCACCTCCTCTAGGTCAGGGACTGTGTCGACACCATCTGCAGTAAGGCCTACCACCGCAAATTGCTCCACCCGCGGCGAGCCACCGCGTGCTGGTGCGACCTGATGTCCTGCAGGCCTTCTCGACACTCGACGTCTTGTGCGTGGAGGTATTGGCACAGCAGTGGGCGGTGGTTGTATCCCGACAAGCTGCTGCGGTACACGTGGAGCGAGAAGCTCTTGGTCGTGCATCTGCCGGACCAGCCTTGCACGCTCCGCTTCCAGAACCGCCTTCGGCGGGCCCCTGTAGCCAGGATACCTTCCATCGCGAATACGGTTCAATGCGTCCTGGCCGTTCTTTGCGATGGTTTCCTCGCAGGTCTCTCTCAATCCTTTGCCAATCGTGGTGCCGTATGCAGCGCATTTGGCACAGAACAGTAGGCCGTACTTCGTCCATTCGCTGACGGTGTGTGTGTGTGTGTCGGGTGTAACTTGCCATTGCCCACAACGCGATCACCCTTGACGTCGACAGTCTCAGTTGCCGTGGTAAAGTTGGTCTCGCACTGCGTGTCCACGAACTCCTGCAGGGCGTCCACCGTAACGTACTGCCTGCACGCCGTACAAAACCACTTACTCTTTATCTTGGCCGTGTCGTGCTTAGACTTCTCGGCCATTGCTTTTGCTATATCATTATTCCCTACCTAGGCTCTGCCTAGAAGGGTTCTTACTCTCTTAGCTTAAAGGGGCCGGGCAATGGAAAGCGCCCCGGGCGGTTCCCCCGGTCCCCTGGGAGCGGTTCCCCCCAGTCCCCTGGGAGCTTTAGCTTAGCTTTAGCTTAGCTGTAGCTTAGCTTTAGCTTAGCGTTTCGCTTAGCTTTTCGCTTAGCGTTTAGCTTAGCTTTAGCTTAGCTTTAGCATAGATTTAGCTTAGCTTTAGCTTAGCTTTAGCTTAGCTGTAGCTTAGCTTTAACTTAGCTGCTGCTCAGCTTTAGCTTAGCTTTAGCTTAGCTTTAGCTTAGCTTTAGCGTAGCTTTAGCTTAGCTTTAGCTTAGCTGTAGCTTAGCTTTAGCTTAGCTGTGGCTTAGCTTTAGCTTAGCTTTAGCTTAGCTTTAGCTTGGCTTTAGCTTAGCGTTACTGTTACTACTAATGCTGCTTTCCTAGGGGTTCCAACTCCTAGGTAGGGTCGCACTGGGGTAATGTTCTTTGGGCTTGGCTGTGGACGGTCTTTCGGCACACCAAGGATCAGCATCTGCAGAGTCGGCCAGCGCTTGCCGTGCACGGAATCGCACATGGGCTCATATAGCGTCCGACTCGTCCGTTCGCGGCAGCGGTTGACATACCCTTTCCCAAGACGACTCTGCTGCCACCGTCGCCAGTGCGTCCGCGAAACCGTTGCCGACCGCGAAGATCGGGTTGATCACTTCCGCCTCATCATCGTCTTGATGGGATGGCGTCCATTCCACCTCGATGTGTCGTTGCTCGTTCTCCATTATGGCACGCTTGATGCGTGCCCATATGTATATATATATATATATATAATATATATATATATATAGATGCATTTCTACCGCGGGAGGAGGAGGAGGAGGAGGAGGAGAGGAAGATGGTGATGAGGAGGAGGTCGACGATGGGGGGAGGGGGGGGGGGGAGGAGGAGGAGGAGGAGGAGGAGGAGGAGGAGGAGGAGGAGGAGGAGGAGGAAAAGGACCAGTGCAAATCCAAGAGTCACCAACGATGTTGGAATAAACCCTCCACTCAAGCTCCCTCTTCATAGGCCCCTGCAACGGTTCATTTCCACAGAAGGGCCTGCCTCGTTGGAAGACAACCGTTTGAAGACCCTGAAGCATGCCAAAACATTATTCTCGGTATTCCAACGCCACGGATGAACCTGCTGGTTGCGTATTGACGATCCTGAATCGTGCCAGCACGCCATTCCTGGGACCTCAACTTCGTGAATCATCCTAATTCTTGCGCCCTCAAAACCGCGAGTCCTTCCAAAACATAATTTCTGGTACGCCGATCATGGAACCCGTGAAGCTCTTCCAATGTTGTATCCAAAATGTGCGCGGCGCTAAAGCGACAACCACCGTTTGAAAACCACCCGCCCTCAATCCGTGAAGGTCTTGTACATGTTTAAAACGAATGCGCTCGGTGCTTAGACGACAACCACATGTTGAAAAGCGACCCGCCCTCAATCCGTTAAACTCTTGCGAATGTTGAAAGCGAATGCGCGCGGCGCTAAGGCGAGAGCCAAATTTTGAAAATCACGCGCCCTCAATCCGTGAAGCTCTTGCACATGTTGAAAACGAATGTGCGCGGCGCTAAGGCGAGAACCACATTTAAAAAACCAACTGCGCTCAGTCCGTGAAGGTTTTGCCAATGTTTAAAACGAATGTGCGCGGTGCTTAGACGAGAGCCACCTTTTGAAAACGATCCGCCCTCAATCTGTTAAGCTCTTGCCAAGTTTGAAAACAAATCTGCGCGGCGCTAATGCGAGAGCCACATCTTGAAAACCACCCGCCCTCAATCCGTGAAGGTCTTGCAAAGTTTGAAAACGAATGTGCGCGGCGCTAAGGCGCGAACCACATTTGGGAAATCACCCGCCCTCCATCCGTGAAGATGTTGTCAATGTTCAAGCTTCAGGGTCGTAAGTGGTGAGGGAGTCTCAGGCGAAACGCCCGGCCCGCCCTAAAAGCTGGCCTCGGGGTGCGACAGGGAGAAATTGCTTAGCAAGAAAAGGAATGGAGGAGGAGGAGGAGGAGGAGGAGGAGTAGTAGGAGGAGGAGGAGGAGGAGGAGGAGGAGGAGGAGGCGGGGCGCCGCCGAGGGTCCAGAGCAAGAGGCCCCTCGCCGAAGGCCCAGGCCCCATGCGGATGCCCAGAGCGCAGAACACCCCACGTCGCGAGAGGACCTTCTGTCCCTTCGCGCCTCTACAGCGGAGGCCCGACCACAAGAAACCTTCCAGAAACCCAACCTTGAGACCCCATGAAATCCATTGATCTTTGGTGTGGGAACGTCACGCGTTCCATCGCGAAACCATCGAAACCCAAGAAATCCAGGGCACCCTGGAGGCAAGCAACACGTTTCTTGGCACAGGTCTCCACTGTATCCGCGTCGCATCCGTGTCGAATCCACGTCGGACTCGTCGGATCCGCGTCAAATCTGCGTCGAATCCGCGTTGAGTCCACGAAACATCCGCGCCGAACCCGCATCGAACCCGCGTCGGGTACAGGACAAGACACCACTTTGGGGGACAGACGAGGTCCCCCGACGATACAACGTAAGATATGCACCGACACCTCCGACGAACTTTGCATGTACAGTCGAACCTGCAGTCAGCCCGTATGGTAAGGATGCGCGATAAGGATGCAAGGGCCTTGCAGGGTCATTTCGAGGCTGTTCGAGCGGGGCGCGGCCAACGAGAAAGCGAAGGATGGGCCGAGACGGCAAGGATGCAAGGATACCCCTGGGAAGGTTGCCCATCCTTACTGTGCGGTGCGGGTTGACTGTATATACACAGACACCTCCGACGAACTTTGCATGTACAGTCGAACCTAGGCCGGAATAACGTCCTCCAAGAACATGAGACCATCCAACCTCCAAACACACACAGAGCATCCAAGGATCCCCTCCCCAGGATGTATAAGAACGTCTAACAGACACGAATAAGAATAGGGCATCCTCCCCAAACCGACCTCGATCTTGTACCTCGGTGCGACTGTACCTTCAGGGAGGGTGGCGGTGTAGAAAGTCGCTGGCTCCAAGTGGTGATTTATGCACCGCCACGCTCCCCTGAGGCCCAGGAGCAATCCATTGGAGGGTGTCCGTGTAGTTTTTTTTGCGGCGGACATCCTGAGGTGAGGGGCTCCACGGCAAAGAACACAAGGGCACCCCTCCGAAGCCCAGGTTGTCTCTTGGCCCCCGTGCCAGCTGTGCCCCCCCCTGGGGGAACCCATCGCATACGGTCTCTCGAGAGGGTTAGGAGGCAACTCCTAGGAGTCCTCATGGGGACAAACCAGGGATACTGAGCCCTATTCAGGGGCCACGATAATCCGAAGTAGCCCGACAAAAAACCCAAGAGTAAGCCGGATCAACCGGGATAAATCGTAACTATCCTGTATTAGGTTGGTTTTCGACGACGGATAATATACCAGCGCCGAGGCTCAATCTAGCCTCTCAGGAATTGCAGCTTAACCTGGGGGAGCTCATTGCACCGATGGTCTCTCGGGAGGGGCCTCTACGAAAAAACAGCATGGACATAGACTTTCGGGGCTCCGCGCGGATTTCTTGGATCGGTGCTACGGAGGGCGAAACGGGCAGCGCCAGAGGCCCCGCCAAGGGGTCCAGTTCAGATCTGGGAAGCCTGCGCGGAGCCCCGAGAGTGCATTTGTCTACCGCTTTGTCTTCTTCGAGGCAAGGGCCCCAGGCATCCGATGTCTCGACTGGTCCGTGTAGCCCCCCGGGAAGTCCCGATACTGGTGCATTTTCCAGGTGTACCACTACCATAAGCAGGAGAGGAGGAGGAGGAGGAGGAGGAGGAGGAGGAGGAGGAGGAGGAGGACGACGAGGAGAAGGTCGAGGGTGGGGAAAGGAGAAGGAGGAGGAGCTCCCAGGGGCCAACACACGGCCAAAAACCTCCTGCCGTGCTGTGCTCCCCAGCGCGAGCGTGTCTGGGGCCACAGCTGCCCCCCAGCTGTGGGCGGGCCTGCCTCGGCAGCGCAGGCCCACTCGTACTCCAGCGCGCCCCCCGCGCCGGACGAGCCCGAGCCGTCCAGCACCAGGCCGCAGTCTTGGCCGACCTCGGAGGGCCCGGCGATGCGCGCGCGCGGAGGCTCCGCGGTCGTGGTGGTCGCGGTCATGGTTCCTCAGGGGCGTCCAGGCGCTGCCGTTTCTGCACACCAGGCGTCCTCGCCTCGTCTCGGGCCCCAGGGCCATCACACATCGATCTGGCTCGAGAAGTGCCGCAACAAGACAGGGTCTACGGCTCCGGTCGTGACCTGTTCGCGGTATATGTTTTGCACGTCGGATCTCGGGGGAAAGAGAGAGACACATATCGCTGCTCGTCTTGGAGGACCCTCGTCCTCACTGCCGGATTCTCCTTGAAATCCTGTCTAGAGCGCGTCCCAGGGAGAGGTCGGGGGAGTAGCGGTGCGTCAAGGCATAGTTTGCTGCTCCTCCGCTTCCTGTGGTGGTCAAGGTGACTATCGTCACGGTGGGGGCCGAGATGCTGCTGACCGTCACGTTGGCGGACACCCCAGCGCTGTCCTAGAACAGAAAAAAGCCGCATCAGCATAAACGTTCGGAGCTGCGCGCGGATTTCTTGGGTCGGCGCTGGAGGAGGAGGAGGAGGAGGAGGAGGAGGAGGAGGTGGAGGAGGAGGAGGAGGAGGAGGAGGAGGAGGAGGAGGAGGAGGAGGAGGAGGAGGAGGAGGAGGAGGAGGAGGAGGAGGAGGAGGAGGAGGAGGAGGAGGAGGAGGAGGTGGAGGAGGAGGAGGAGGAGGAGGAGGAGGAGGAGGAAGAGGAGGAGGAGGAGGAGAAGGAGGAGCCCCCTTCCCGGGCGCGCGGAGCCGCCAGGGGGGCACCAGCGCCGACCCCCGAAATCCGCGCGGAGCCCTGCATCTGTGGCGTTTTGCTCCTCGCCGCTGTCCAGCTCTGCGGCGAGCAGTGCTCCCATGCTGCCAGTGGTCGCCTGGGCGAGGCCGCTGCGAAGAATTGCAGCAGGGCGACGGTCACGGCCATATTCCTAGACCCTGTCTGGCCGCGGCAGTGTTCGAGCTGGGTCGGTCTGTGATGGTTGTGGGACCCGAAGACGGGCGGCATCGCCCGTCTCTTCCAAGACGCGGCGCCCGGATCTCGATGTGAGAACTCAGACGTGCGAGACTGCCCAGAGTGAAAACTGGCGCTGCCCAGCCCTGCGGCAAGCCGTGCGCCCCTGCTGCCGGTTGTCGCCTGGGTGATGCCGCTGACCAGGCCGCTGGCCTCGTCCCCGTCCGCCGCGAGGATCTCGTACGTCACCGTGACGCTCCCCGCCGTGCGGCGCGGGGTCGCGGCCAGCAACCTCGACAGCCGGCGGCGGCCCAAGGACATGTCGACGCCGACGGTGCTGGGGGGCACGCCAGCCACGCCCGCGATCGTGCTGCCCACGGCGGCGCGAGCCGCCGGGTCCTGGATGAAGGCGGCCGGGTCGTCGACCTCGAGGCTCGCACTGCCTCGCTGCCTCGCCTCGCTTGTCCACCGCACTCCTTCGCCTCTCCTCTCCCCTCCCGCCCCCGCCCCCGCCCCTCAGCTCCACACCACTTCGTCCCCTCGCCTTCTCCGCTTGTCTCACTCGTGCACGCGCGTGCGCGCGTTGTGGTACCGCTGAGGTGTTGCTTGTGCACGGCTGCTTATACTCATCATGCTTCAGTGTAGCACCAGTGGTTCGGCATGCGTGCCTTCTTGTTCTCACACGTAGTGCGCTCACGACCTGCTTGCGCCCCCTCGGCACTGGTCTCACTGATCCCCCTCCCACCCTGCGACCTCGAGGCCCAGAGAACCGCTGACGAGGCTCGCCCGCGTGGGCGTCACAGTGGTGCTGTGCACCGTGTGGCTCTCCGACGTCGTGGTGGACGTGGCCGAGGTGCTCGTCAAGGTCGCCGTGGCGGTGCCCGTCGCCGTCGCGGTCGCACTGAAGCTTCCCGTCGTGGCACTGCCGCTGGTCTCGGAGCTGCTCGCCCGCGTCGCGGTGCTGCTCGCCGAATGGGTGGCCGTGGTGCTCACGGGCGTCACAGTGCTCGTCCCTGAGGAGGTAGCCTCAGAGGAGGAATCCACATATATCATGTACATACATACATGCATGCATGCATACACACATGCGTACATGCATGTCCGAGATCTACATACGGACGTACATACATGCATACATGCAGCCATGCATGCATACGTGCATGCATGCATGCATGCGTGGATGCATGCATACATGCATATATACATGCGTACATACATACATACATGCATACACACATACATACATGCATACATCCATACATACAGACAGACAGGCAGGCAGGCAGACATACATGCTTACAAGCATGCATGCATGCATGCATGCATGCATGCATGCATGCATATATACATGCATACACACAACCATACGTACATGCACGTATACCTGCCTACCTACCTTCCTGCATGTCTGCGTACACATATACATACACTCATGCATGCATGCGTACATATATTCATACATACATACATACATACATACATATACACATGTACGTATACATATACACATGCACATTCACAACCACACACGTACACATGTACATGTACAAGTACATGCACAACTACGTACACACATACGTATACCTATACAGACACAAATGCACACGCACATGCATTTACACATATATGAAACCAGATATGCACATACAGCGCAGCCCCCAAACACCGTTTCAGGTTGCATCGGTCTTTGAGCGTTTCATTCGTACTGATCATGCGCCTTCTTTTCGTCCGTGCCTGCTCATCCATTCCTCCTGTTCGTCATGTCTCTGCTGTTCTCCCGTGGTGGGGCCTAATTGGAATCAGCTGGAATTGGGATTTGCTCAATTCGACATGGATCCCCATCCGATTTTATAAGAATCCAACTGGACACAGCTGGATGTGGGATCCGCCCTGTCTATAAGATTTTATTTCGGAATCAGCTGGATATGGGATCTGTTGCGTTCCGACCGGATTTAATTATATTCCAATCGAAATCCAAAGGGAATCGGCTGGGCCTGTGATCGGTAGAATTCGAATTGAATGCTAATTCGGTCCCAGTCGATATCCAAGTAGGAACAGCTGTATATGGGATATGCTCCATTACATTGTAATCCTACTTCGATCCACATAATAATCACATTGTAGTCATCTGGGTCTGGGACCCATTCAATCCCTATTCTAATATAATTCCATCTTCGCAATAATCTATATGGCATGAACTGAGCCTGTGGTCTGCCCGCCTCCGAATAAATTATGACTCGGTTCCAACCGGAATCCCACTTGGACCCAGCTGGATTTGGGATGTCCCCAATCCCGATTAAATTCGACGGAAATTCCAACAACAATCAAGTTTCAATCAACTGGAGATCTGCTCCATTCCAATTAGATTTCAAGTAGATTTTAATAACAATCTAATGTGGTTTGCCCGGATATGTGATCTGATCCGTCTTGACAAGATTCAAATGACATCCCACTCGGAATCTATGTGGTAATAATATTATTGGAATCCGCAGGATCTGGGGTCTGCCCAATTCTAACTCGACTACAAGTCAATATCAATCGGAATCTACTCGGAATCAGCTGGATCTGGGACGCACCATTCCAATTCGACCCTGAACATATTCCCGGATGAATCCATGCCGAAGCAGCTGTGCGTGGAATCTGCTCAATGCTCATCAGGGCTTATTCGGCTTCAAAAATAATATCTTTCGATGCCAACTGAAACTGGGATCCGCTCCGCCCTATCGAGATCCCACTTGCGTTCGCAATAAATCAGATTGTGATGAACTGGATCTGGAAGCTGCCTCCCTCTCTCTCTCTCGTTCTCTGCCTCTCTCTCTCTCTGTTTATTGTTTTGTTCTCTCTCTCTCTCTATGTATATGCCTCTGTCTCTCTCTCTCTCTCTCTCTCCTTCTCTCTCTCTCGCTGTCCAACCATGATCCCTAAACGCAGCACGCATATGATAATAAAGGAAGGGGGGAGGGGACGTCGCGCACCTCGACGCGGCGCACGGCGGTAATTAGCCCCGTTCCCGCTCGGAACAGGCGTCCCGTCCGTGAACTGCGTGCTGATCGCGCGCATGTTGGTGCCGTTGGCCTGGTTGTGCTGGGTGAGGGACGCCACCACTTGCGCCGCCGCGCCCGACTCATCCTCGTTGAGCGCCGCCTCCGTCGCGTGCTTGCAGCGCTCGGTGGACAGCCGCGCCGGGTGCGCGGGGCCCGCCGACCCCGCGATGGCGCTGCTGATCTTCGCGACCAGCCCACGCGGCAGCAGCCCGCCATCCGCCGTCAGTTTGCCCTTTTTGATGCCCATCACCTCCGGCCCCTGTGGCGCGCAGTAGCGCTTGGCGCCGAACCTGCCTCTCAGCTCCTTCATGATGTGGTGCGCGGCCCTGTCCTCGCGCATGGGCATGTGCGCCTCCGCAGCCGTCAAGTCCAGCTTCGCCCTCTCGTCACCGAGGAAGTTAACGTACCTGGCGATGGTCGCGGCGCGCGCGGAGTAGAAATTGCTGTCGTAGATGTTCTCGACATCCTCCGCGACCGCGCCGCCGCCCGCGCCGCCGTCATCTCCGCCGCCCTGCGCCTTGCCAGTGCGCGCCACCGCGCTGGCTTTGAAAACGGCGTCGGCGTTGGCACGGCCGGTGGCGGCCGAGGCGTTGTCGTCCCTGTTCAGGTTGTCGATCTGCGACGTGGTCACGCCCAACCGGAGCTCTGCCTCCTGCGCGGCGAGCTGAAGGTGCCGCTTGGCCAAAACAGTGGCCTCGCTCACGTCGTTCTCGTCCGCTGTGGACAGCGTCGAGGATGTTGTTCTTCTGCGCGCCGGAGTCCTTGGTGAACCACGCCCGCATGTTGTTCTCGCCGGAGGTGTCGCGCCTCACGCGCGCGCAGGCGCCCCCATAGGCGCCCACGTGCATCGCGTCGCCTGCGCCACACGCCGGCGCAGCGTTGCCCGCGTCGGCGTCGACGATGGGCGCGACACCCTGCGGGGCGGCGCCCTGGGCCTCCAACTCGTGGAACAGCGCCGCGTCCATCGCCCCGTCGAGCAGGCGCTGCTGCTCGCGGTAGAAGGCGACCTCGTCGGTCAGCGTCGCCAAACGCGACGCCGACGGCAACGGCCGAAGCGACGCCGCCGGCACTGCGATGACGCCGTGAAGCGCACCGGCTGGCGCGACCGCCTCGGCCCCCGCCGCGTTAATGACGGCGACCTGATTGATGATCCGGTCATGCGCCATCAGCACGGTGGGGCGCGTGCGGCGCCCGTCGGCTGGATAGCCGCGGTGGCGCATGGGGTTCCACCGTCGCAACGGGGGCATGCGTTTTCAATTTTTAAAGCAGATTATGAGTGAGACAGACGGGGTGTGTGAGAGACCAAGGATACAAACGGCCTCGTCGATTCCTGTCCAAATCTCCCACATAAGGATTCCTATTGAAATCCTCCACAGAAGGATTCGCATTGAAATCGATCGCAGAAGGACTCTCATTGACATCCACCACAGAGGGATTCCTATTGGATATCCCCTCAAGCAGCACTGGGAACTAAAAACGTCTTGAGCCTAGTGTCGGCTCAAGAGAGGAGCACAAAGGGAGGGGCGGCCTCAGACGATGACGATGACCTTTTGCCAAGGAGCAATGCTGCTTGCTCCGCTGGCGCCCGGCGCATCACGCGCCGGCGCCGGTCTTAGGCCACGCGTCGCGGGCCACGCCGCCGCCAAGGCACTGCAGCGCCTTGGCGGCCGCGAAAAGTCCAGAACAGGGCGGGCAACGAGGCCCCCAACGGGGCCTCAAGGGCGGGCCAGCTCGGCCTCAAAAGGCTTGAGCCGCCGAACGGCGGTGGGAAAGGAGGGGGAGAGAGGGCAAGCAAGAGGCATGGGCAGGAGCGAGGGGGCCAGTCCTGGAAACGGGGAGAGCCATCAGCTTTACCAAACATCCTAGATAACCCCTCAAGCAGCACTGGGAACTAAAAACGTCTTGAGCCTAGCGTCGGCTCAAGAGAGGAGCACAAAGGGAGGAGCGGCCTCAGACGATGAGGATGACCTTTTGCCAAGGAGCAATGCTGCTTGCTCCGCTGGCGCCCGGCGCATCACGCGCCGGCGCCGGTCTTAGGCCACGCGTCGCGGGCCACGCCGCCCACCTCCTCCTGTGAGTATTCCACCACGCCGAACTGGCTGTAGTGGGTCGCGCAGTCGCCGAACTTCCCGGCGTCGAACTAAACAGTTCCGGCTTCTGCGGCACGCTGCCGCTTCCGCCCATCAAGGTAAGTCCGCAGGCGCAGGGCGGCACGCCGCCGGCGCCCGCGGGGGTTCGCCATGCGCCCAGTGCGGTAGCCCGGCTGGGCTAGCCGCCGGCGCCTCTCGCAGCCGCCACCGCCGTCCCCCATGACGGCGCTGCCGGAGCCAGGCCGGCGCGGCGCTCTGCCCTCAGGCACCAGCTGCCGCCGCCCGCGCCTAGCTGCTCGCAAGCGCAAGGTTGATCGCGAGCGCCAGGCTGAACTCAGCCGGCGCCGCGCGGCCGCCCGCGCGGCGTCTGCCGGCGGCGGACCTCTGCGCCAAGCTGCCACGTCCGCCCAGCAAGGTGGGTCCGCAGGCGCGGGGCGGCACGCCGCCGGCGCCCGCGGGGTTCTTCATGCGCCCCGTGCGGCCGCCCTCGCTGGGCTAGCCGCCGGCGCCCCCTCGTAGCCGCCACCGCTGTCCCCTCATGACGGCGCTGCCGGTGCCAGGCCGGCGCGGCGCTCTGCCCTCGGGCACCAGCGGCCGCTGCCCGCGCCCAGCTGCTCGCAAGCGCAAAGTGATCGCGAGCGCCAGGCTGAACTCAGCCGGCGCCGCGTGGCCGCCCGCGCAGCGGTTGCTGGCGACGGACCTCCGCTGCCCGCCCGGCCGTTGGCCGGCGGCAGCCACGCACCTCAGTCACGATGCGGCCTCTGCTGTCCTCCCCGGGGCCACTCGGGCGACCCGCGGTGCCCTGGCGGGGCTACTTCGCGCGTCACCGTATATTTCATAAGCGATATATCGCTTGCGGCATATATTAACGGTATGTACATGTATAACCAGTCATGCCATGTACATACATATATATATATATATGTATATGTATGTTATTGTTTATATACGTATACATATATGTGTGTATATGTGCATATGTATATGCATATGTATTTGTATATACACATATATATAACTACATCGGTTATGTACGTATATGTATATGTATACATACACGTGTTTCCATGCGTATAATTATATATATATATATGGATACACGTGTTATGTATATGTACGTGTGTATATATATAGACATCTATATATATATACACATAAATGCGCATACGTATACTTACGGCGGGGGCGTTAGATAAGGAGTGTGCCCGGGAGGCCTCAGGCCCTAGAGGGTTCCTTATCCGACGAAGGCGGCGTTCATTTAATGTAGTTTTAAGCGAATGCGTGCTCATGGCCGAGGCCATGCACATGCGCGCGTGCGCGAATTTGTTTACAGCTGACGTTGTGCACACGCTCAGGTACACAGACACACACGTGTATACATAGTTATGATTCGCACGTTTGTACATACATGCAAAACGTAGCTTTAGCTTAGCTTTAGCTTAGCTTTAGCTTAGCTTTTTAGCTTAGCCTTAGCTTAGCTGTGGCTTAGCTTGAGCTTAGCTTTAGCTTGGCTTTAGCTTAACTTTAGCTTAGCTTTAGCTTAGCTTTAGCTCAGCTTTAGCTTAGCGTTACTGATACTACTAATGCTGCTTTCCTAGGGGTTCCAACTCCTAGGTAAGGCCGCACTGGGATATTTTTTTGGCGACGTGCAATGCGCGGCCGATGAAAGAAAGGCCGGTTCTACTCAAACGGCTTATAAGCTGTTCGGCACCCGATTGATAATTAAGAGCCGAATGGCATTCGAGAATTAGTTCCGGTCGAAGCTAGCAGTCCGACAGGCGCTTAGATTTGCGCCCGTGGAGCTCCAGATGGCAGCGCTCCCCGCAGAATCGCATGCCCGAACGAGAGCGATGCCGAGACCTGTCCGTCTTGGGGCGGCTGAATTCGATGGGCCCACCACAACTTGGAGACGCGTTGCGCGTGGAACTCGCCCAAGCCAGCGGTTCGTTCTCCAGCCCGCCGCATATCGTGCATGGCTGCAGTCGAGACAAGCATGAGGAATAATCCAGGAGAAAGCCATCAGAGAACTCATGATGCACCTTGCGCGCCGCAAGCTCATGGCGGCGCGCGCGCGTGCAATGGCACCGCGCGCGCCAAATTGCGCACGGGCAGCGCATCTCCAGGTCGACATTCAAACGCAGCCCTGCGGCGAGAGCCAACTGGCGTGAGTTGCGCCAATCGCCGGGCGGGGAAGCGGAAGGGGAGCGCGCAAGGAAGACTCTACCCCGACGGCGCGCTGAACCTGGCCCACCCGGGGCTCCTGGCGACGGCGGTTCGATCGCGCGCGCGCTGCAAGCGCCCCCCGAAATCGTCGCCGACGATGAAAAAAATGCCCCATCAACATCGCGGCCATTCTTGTAATGCCGCCCGTGGCCTGCCCGCAAGCCCACGCGCGTGATCCTCGCGGCAATGGACAGGGGGCAACCGTGGAACGCCCAATCCTTGCCGCTGTCGCGCCATTCCACAGGGCAAACTGCGCGCGAACATCGCGACGACTCATCGCGAATAGCAGCTGCGCGCCACGGGGCATCACCGAGGAGATACATCACCAGCCGCAGGCGCCCCCCCGCGACGCCCCCGAGGGCGACGCTGCCCGAAATGACTGAACCGAAGAATGCGGCGTGCCCAAAAGGGCGGGGCCCAGAAAGACACTGGGCGAAAATGGCAACGGAAGGCCTCGTCGAAACTACGTTCGAAAACTGGGCGGCAAAGAGGCTGGCCCGCTGGGGGGGGGGGGGGGGGGGAGGGGGGGGGGGGGGCGGGGAGGAGGAGGAAGAGGAGGGGCTACGTTCGAAAACTGCAAAGCAAAGCGGTTGGCCCGCGGAGGAGGAGGGGGGGGGGGGGGCGGGGGGGGAAGAGGATGAGGATGAGGAGGAGGGGGAGGAGGAACTACGTTCGAAAACTGCAAGGAAAACTGCAAGGCAAAGCGGCTGGTCCGCTGAGGAGGAGGAGAGGGGGGGGGGGGATGGCGAGGGGGCGAGGCGGCCTGTTTGTCCTGCAATGCCGCGCGCGTCGAGAACCTACGAGCGTCGAGCGTCTCGAGGCGGAGCGCCGAGCGCATTGCGCGCCCGCTTGGCGCTCGCGTGGGCGCTGGCTAGAGCAGGGGCGTCTACGATTCTAGACATGAGATGCTGTGATTCAGAACTGGCATCCGCCTGCAGCGATGGGAGCAATGAGAAAGGGAAATGGTGGGCTGAGAGAACTGGGATGAAGAAGTGATGAACGATGGTGAGATCCTCTGGGGAGAAGAGACGTCCGACGCCCTACCCCGCTGCATGCAGATGCCGAGCAGCGCAGCTCAGCCAGCTCGACGGGCCCCGCCGAGGTTGATGAACCTTTTCGTGTTAGCCTCGAAGATCTGGCTGATGGTCTCGTCGGCCGCGTTGGACGTCTGCATCTCGTTCGCGAATGCGCAGCCTTGGCGCCGTCCAGGAAGCGGAGGATCTGGGCCGCCGCCCTGCTGCTGCGCTTGATGTCGTCCTGGGGCGCCTTCAGCTCGCCGAGGCTGATGGTCACCCTCTGCGCGTTGTCCACCCGTCCAGCCTGGCTCAGGCGCATCAACGCCGTCGTTGCTGCTGTCGCTGGGGCTGCTGCTGCTGGTGCTGCTGCTGCAGTCGCTGGTGCTGCTGCTGCGAGCTTGGACGCCACCAGCTCGGCCATCTGCTCCGTCTGGGACTCCGAGATGCCGCTGCGGCTGCTGCGGCCGTGCCCATCGCCTCCGCCGCGATGGCCTCCGCCGAAGTGGCGCTTGCTGCCCTTGTCGTGCTGGCCGCGGGCGTCGCCGCCGCTTCCGCATTGTTTGCGTTCGACGGCTTCTGCTGCCACCCTCTTGTTCTCCCGCTTCTGTTTCTCCGATTCCATCCACTTGACGCGCTCGTCGTCGTCCTTGGAGATGGCGC